GCTATGGGTCGGAATTGACTCGACGGCACTTAACTACAACTACTACCATTGTTATTGTAAGTTTTTTAAATTATAAAAACAGTGTAGCCACCTTGTAGTAAATGTGGGAAATGAAAACAAAATAAGTCACACTAACCTACCACATTGGAAACCCTGTACAGGGTCGCTATGGGTCGGAACCGACTCGATGGCACTTCACAACAACAACAACAACCTACCACATTATTATCATTGCTGTGAATTTCCTTTTTTATTTTTTCTGTGAGTAGATGAGCTAGTTTAATGATACAAAGTATATAATTTTATGTTTTATTTTTGTAACTTAACATGACGTAAGCATTTTCTTTGTTATTACATTGTCATCATAACCATATAATCATATATTAACTGACAGTGTCATAATTTCATCAGCCACTACTTAATTATTTGATATATATGTTGCTTCCAGGTTATTACCTCAGATGATAAGATGAATATCGCCTTTGGATACAGGTTTTTCCAGATTTAAGACCTTTTCTTAGAATGGATTATTAGTAGAAATTCTGAATGTAAGCATAACATTTTTAGGGTTTTTGATGTCTATTGGAGTTGTTCTATATTAGAACAAATGTTTTGGCTTAGTTCTTCATTTGTTTGATTGTTTTGCTATTTGGGTTTTACTTTTTTAGCTATGTTTTCCACTTGGCTTTTTTAGCTATGTTTTCCACTTCTGTTAATTATCCTCTTGTTTTCCCTCCCTTCTCCCCATTTTAGGTGAAATTGATATACTTCTAAACACAGCATATTACCAGAAGAGAATAGAATTTCCTAATGAAATATGAGCATAACAGGAAGGTGTCATTGACTCTGAATTAAATTTGAACTTGTTCCCTGAACAGCTGCAGGATTTGGAAGCTGAATCAATGTTATCAGATGAGTTAGAATCCAAACCAGAGGTGAGCCCATTCAGCTTGTGTCTTTTTACTTTGGGGAGACTGTATACCAAATTATCCTTAGCTCTGGGGTCAGCACACTTTTTTTGTAATGGGGGAGATAGTAAATGTTTTAGACTTCGTGGGCCATACAGTGTTAGTCTTTAGCTTCTCATCAATGATGTTGTAGTGTGAAAACAGCCATAGACACTACTTAAATGAATCAGTGTTCCAATAAAAAGTTGATTTACAACACAGATAGTGAACTAGGTTTGGTCCATGGGCCATAGTTTTCCAACCCTTGCTGTAGTTTACTGTTTTTCGATGATTAAGTACTTTCTCAAAGATTAAATTACATTAAAAAATTTTTAAGACTGCTTTTCTATTTGTTATTTGGTTAAGTGTATAATTATTATATAGGCAAATAATTATCCACCACTCCTCTGTCAGTTTGTCATACTCGGGTGGCTTGTGTGTTGCTGTGATGCTGGATGCTGTGCCATGGGTATTTTAAATACCACCAGGGTCACTCATGGTGGACAGGTTTCAGCTGAGCTTCCAGACTAAGGCAGACTAGGAGAAAGGAGAGGTGGACTACTTCTGGAAGGTTAGCCACTGGAAACCCTATGAATAGCAGTGGAACCCAGTCACATAACACCAGAATATTATCAGATGCACTGCCAGAAGATGCGCCCCTTAGATTGGAAGGGGCTCAAAGTGCAACTTGGGAAGAGCAGCCCCCTCAAAGTGGGGTTGACCATGATGACGTAAATGGATTGATTAAAGCTTTGGGGACCTTCATTTGCTGGTATAGCAACAACTGTCAACATCCATTAATAATTAGAACATGAAGTCTATGAAGTATGAATCTAGGAAAATTGAGAGTTGTCAAAAATGAAATGAAACGCATAAAGATCTATACCTAGGCATTAGTGAGCTGAAATGGATTGGTATTGGCCGTTTTGAATCTGAAAGTCATAAGGTGTGCTATGCCGGGAATGATGAAGAGGAATGGTGTGACATCTATCTTGAAGTATGATGCTATCTGTGTTAGGGTAATATTCATATGCCTATAAGGATGACCACTTAATATCACTATTATTCAAATTTACACTCCAATCACTAAAGCCAGTGATGCTGAAATTGTGCATATGCGCATAGGGTCGCTATGAGTCGGTAACTGACTCAATGGCTCCTAATAACAGCAACCACCTTTTTCAGTTTGAGATTGATCAATCAAAATGTAGTGATAATTGTTAGAATGCAGAGGTTGGAAACAAAGAGGAAGGATCAGTAGTTGATGATAGAAATGATGCTGGAGATCACATGATAGAATTTTGTAGACCAATTTCCTTGCAAGTAACCTTTCTTTTTTCAACATGGTCCAGATACAAAACACAGAAATTAAATTGACTACATCTAAGAGAGGGAGTCCTGGTGTGATGCTATGGGTTAATGCGTCAGACTACAAAGTTGTTTGAACTGCAAGGTCGATGGTTCAAGCTCACTGGCTGCTTCTTGGAGAACCTATTCAGGGTCACTATGGGTCAGAATCAACTCGACGGCACTTAACAAGAACAAGATGGGAAGTGATGATGGAATTGTTTCATATTGTAAGTCAAAACAAGGCCAGGGGCATACTGGAACAGATTATCAATTGCTCATCATATACAAGTTAGGGCTGAAGGTGAGGAAAATGAAAACAAGTCCACAAGAGCCAAAATTTGACCTTGAGCATTTCTCACCTAAATTTAGAAATCATCTCAAGAACAGATTTGATGCATTATACACTATTGACAGAAGACCAGAAAAGTTTGGGGATGACATCAAGAACATCATATAGGAAGGGGGAAAAAGGCATTAAGAAGATAAGAAAGAAGGAAAAGACCAAAATGGATATAAGAGGAGACTCTGAAATTTGCTTTCCAGCGTAGAAATGATAAAGCAAATGAATAAAATGAGGTGATAAAAGAGCTGAACAGAAAACGTCAAAGGGCAGCTTGAGAAGACAAGAGTCAAATATTGTAATGAAATGTATGTGCAAAGACCTGGAGTCAGGAGACCAAAAGGGAAGAACACAATACGTTCAACATTTCTCAAGCTGAAAGAACTGGAGAAAAAATTGAAGCCACAACTTACTCTGTGGGTTAAGCTCTGTACCGCAAGATCAGTTTGAACTGTAACGTCAATGCTTCAAATTTACCTGCTGCTCCTCAAGAAAACCTATACAGGGTTACTATGGGTCGGAACCACGTCAGTGGCACTTAACTAACAACAACATGAGCAAAATATTGATGATATAGAAAGCATCAAAAGAACATGGATGATTACATTGTACCAAAAAGAAATGGTATCCATGTTCAACCATTTCAGGAGGTAGAATATGATCAAGAGCCAGTGGTACTGACAGAAGAAGTCCAAGGTGCATTGAAGACATTGGCAAAGAACAAGGCTCCAGGACCTGATGAAATGTAAGTTGAAATCTTACACTGATGCAGCTCTGGAAGCACTCACTCATCTCTGCCAAGAAATTTGAGAGATAGCTACCTGGCCAACTGATTGGAAGAAATCCATATATGTGTCCATTCCAAAGAGAGGTCACCCAACGGAAGGCGTAAATCACGAAACAGTATCATTAATATCACATGCAAGTAAAATTTTGCTAAAGATAATTATAAATCAGATGTAACAGTACATTGACAAGGAACTGCCAGAGGTTCGAGCTGAATTCAAATGAGGGTGTGGAATAAAGAATATCATTGCTGGCATCAGCTGGATCTTGGCTAAAAGCAGAAAGTAGCAGAAAGATGTTTACCTGTGCTTTATCGATTATGCAAACTTTTGACTATGTGGATCATGACAAGCAATGGATAACATTGCAAAGAATGGGTATTCCAGAACACTTGATTGTGTGATACATGGACCAATAGGCAGTCATTTGAACAGAACAAGGGGATACTAACTGATTTAAAATCAGGAGAGATGTGTGCCAGGATTCTATACTTTGACCATAGTTATTCAGTCTGTATGCTGAGTAAGTAATCCTAGAAGTTGGATTATATAAAGAACATGGCACCAGGATTGGGGGAGACTCATTTACAAACCTGTAGTATGCAGATGATATAACCTTGCTTACCGAAAGCAAAGAGGATTTAAAATATTCACTGAGGATTCAGTATAGGTTGCACCTCAATGTAAAGAAAACAACTTCTCACCACTGAACCAATAAATTGCATTATGATAAATGGAGAAAAGATTGAAGTTGTCAAAGACTTCATTTTGCGTGAGTCACCCATCAACACTCATGGAAGCAGCAATCAAGAAATCAAACCATGTATTGCATTAGACAAATCTGTTTCACAAGGTCTTTTTGCTCTTTGTTCAAGAGCAAAGGTGTTGATTTGAAGGCTAAGATGTGCCTGACCAAAGCCATGGTATTTTCAGTAGCTTCTTAATGCATGTGAAAGTTGAACAATGAATAAGGAAGACCATAGAAGAACTGATGCATTTGAGTTTGGTTTTAAAGAAGAATATTAAAAGTGGCATGGCGTGCCAGAAGAACAAAAAATCTGTGTTGTCAGAAATATGGCCAGAATGCTTCTTAGAAGTGAGCTTGTTGAGATCTCGTCTCTCATACTTTGGACATATTATCAGGAGGGACCAGTCCCTTGAGAAGGACATCATGCTTGGTAAAATGGAGGGTCAGTATAAAAGAAGACCCCCAAGGAGATGGAATGGTACTGTGACAGCAGCAGTGGACTGAAGCGTAACAACTGTGAGGATGTCACAGGATCAGGCAGCGTCACTGTGTGTTGGATCCAACTCAGTAGCATCTAACAACCACAGATACTTATGAAAAAATTATGTTGTTTTTTTTAATACAGGGTTTCAAAAAGTTCATGGAAAAATTGTATTATCTTTTAATTTAGCTAATGAAGCCACCTTGTATATGATGTGTGCATGTATATTCATTTTTCACCTTAAGTTAGTGCACCTCTGATGCATAGTAGAAAGGTCTTCGAATCTAAAATTAGATTTCTTAAGTTGGAAGACTGGAATTTATCCTAACAAGTCATGACTTTAGATAAATTGCTTAATGTCTTCAGTTTGATCCCCCATCTGTAAAATACATGTTTGTTGTTGTTGGTAAGTAGTACTGTCAAGTGACTTCTGACCAATAACCACCCCGTATAGGGTTTCTGAGGAGTGGCTGGTGAGCTTGAACTGCTTGCATTGCAGTTCAGACTGACTTTGCAGTCCAGCGCATTAATCCACAGCGCCTACCGGTACTGCAAATACATGTTTAATGTTACTGAGTTGCAATAAGGATTCTCTGAGTCAGTTCACAGAAAAGCACTTGGTAAATGTAATCAGTACAATACAGTTGAAGTTTTTTTTTTAACTAGTCATCATTTAAAAATAATTATTTTTTAATCATTTCTTTTGATAGAAAGTGACAGTAATAACTTTAAATGTTGTAGTTGCTTTAGTTTTGCTATGAATAAGACCTAAATTAGTGCATAATTAAGATTTAATGTATTTTTGCATTATGCCATAATTGCTTTACTTAGTTTCATGATATCTGCCTTTTCTTTTATGGGTGAATTCTTTTATGTGTATGTGTTATTTGCAAACAATAGGGCACACATTCACATTTTGGTAAATTCAGAGGTTTAGATTTCATACCCAACAACCTGTATTTCTCAGTGTTGCCTTTTTCACCCCTGCCCCTGTAGCTCCTGGTACAATTTGTTCAGAATACATCTATCCCATTGGGACAGGGGCTAGTGGAATCAGAGGCCAAAGACATTACGTGCTTGTCCCTCCTTCCAGTGACTGAGACTTCAGAATGCAGCCGGCTAATGTTACCAGGTAAAAATGGAGATCACCAGAGATGGAGCTAGGATAAAGGGTTCTACTAGCGTAGTCTACTCTGTGGTACCAGTGGAGTGGGAAAACTGACTTTATAGCTCAGGGTGGAAATTGTAAAATGTAGTTGTTGTTGTTAAGTACTGTGGAGTCGGTTCTGACTCATAGTGACCCTGCACAGGGTTTCCGAGGCTGTAAATCTTTACGGGAGCAGAATGCCTCATCTTTGTCCCGTGGCATAGTCATGGAGAAAAAGCAGTCATGGAAATCCTAAGTACATCAGTAGTAGAAGCCTTACACACTGAGAGAGAAGGAAGGAAGGCTAAGAGCAGAATGTGGAACTCCCTATTTAAGGCATAGGATTAGGTAGGAGAGACTGTGAAGGAGGGAAGAAGGAGAAGTTAGGCTAAACCCTAAGAGCCCACTGAGATGGAAGTAAAAGAAGGCCATTGTTTACCTGACCAGGAGCTGTTCCATTGAGTAAAGGGTGTGGAAAGCCAGGCTGCCGTGGTTTAAGGTGTTAATATGATACACTCTGCTCTGTGTAAGTATATTTGAAGAGAAAGCTATACTTTCTAAAGGCTCTCTTGTGGTAGGAAGGAAAAAGAGAAGGATGTAAGGATTTTTTTTTATTTTTGGTGAGAGATACTTGAGGGTGATTTTATGCTAAGAATATCAATTAGAGAAACTGCAAACAGAGAGAGATGGTGGATAATTGGAGAGGAGAGTCCAGAAGAGGTAAGAAGTAGAATGCTGAGCATAGGTAGTGAGGGTAGCTTGAATGAAAAAAGGGAGATCCGTATCTGTAGAGAAACCACCCTTAATTTGTAGGAAGTTGTAAAGGTAATAAATGCATGTTTTTAATTGTTAGGGGGAAATTCCATTATCATTGAAAAGTTAGTGGAAAAATTCCATTTATCTTTTGATTCCATTTTTTCATAAACTTTATAAGCCCTTGTATTCCTTGCACTTAAGGGCCTTGATAAATAATAGTGAGGTTTTTTTTCTCTTTTTAAAAAGACTTCTTGAAAATAAATTGTAAATTTTTAATTAACTTTCTAATGAGTCATTCATCTTCTGTTCCTTTTTAACTGAAACCACTGGTCATAGTTCTGTTGTTGTTGTTAAGTACTGTGGAGTTGGTTCTGACTCATAGTGACCCTGCACACGGTTTCCGAGGCTGCAAATCTTTATGGGAGCAAAAAGCCTCATCTTTCTCCCACAGAACAGCTGGTAGTTTCGAACTGCTGACCTTGAGGTTAACAGCCTGATTTGTAACCACTACGCTACCAGAGCTCCTTAGTGAAAACAGGAGTCAGTAGTCCAGAACATAATTTTTGGATGTTATAAACTCTTTTTTATCCCTTGTTTTTAATGTTAGAAATAGTAATGGTAAATCATGGGAAGGTCAGTATTAACTTGTTGATAACAGCTTATTTGTTTGTTATCAATTCTACTGGTTGCCAACCTCTAATGATGTTCTTTTTCTTTTATTTTTGAAGTGTCCTTAAAGCCCTTTTCCGTTTTTAAAGCTTTAAGAAGGATGAATATGTTCAAACAATATTTAAAAGGTTTTCTTATCTACCTCCTAGCTCTCCCACATCTTCTGTCTCCCAAATCATGTTTTTCTATTGGTTTGTTGAGAGTTATATTTTCTAAAATCCTTTTAGATTTTCAACATAATGACAATTTTCAGGTGTTAATCTATGTAGACATTCATTAAACTTTGACATGGCAGTACTGTTCCTGGGCTTCCACTTTTATTCCTATCATCTTATTCATTATTTTGTTAAAAGAGGAAGTTTTTACCCACCTTTTATAAAGATGAATGAAGCCCTCTAAAACATTGGATGCTTCAGCCTACAATACAGTTGCCACTAAAACCTTTGAAAGTTCATCTCCTTCTCTTAGAACAAAGTTCTTGAAAGTAAGTCTTCTGAATCATTTCTTTACATAGTGTCAACTCTAACTGTTGTGAAGCATACTGAATTCTTAAAGATTTCAGTTGTTTTCTAGGCTAAAGTTTTAAAAAAAATTTTCTGTAACAACTCATCAGAACTGTCGCATGGATTTATAAAAAAGTCAAAAAGGAGTATACTCCAAGAAAAGCATTGTAAACTTTAGACCCTTTTTGAGTTTGTGTGACTGTATAGATATTTTTCGGGGGAAGGCACTTGTTCCTGGCCTCAGAAAGGATAGTTATGTAAGGTAATATAAAGCAGAATACTGAGCATGGTACTATTGGTTATTAGTTAATACCAAATGTTGGAGGAGTCTGTTCTCACATTTTGGCTGATTCCCTTTAGAACTTAAAGCCATTTTCCTGTTCTTATCTGAGGAATTTTTTTTTCATTTGTAAAATGAAAGTACTGCCTGCTGCTATAAAGATGTTGATATCAGGGATGCTGTGAGAGTACTTGGGGCTTCATGCTACATAATGCTGTGATGTTTTCCCTTTTCTAGATGATACTCCAAATCATACTAACTCTTCTAAGGATGTCCCTTCCTCAGCTGTGTTGAGAAGCCTTCAGGTGAATGTGGGCCCAGACGGAGAAGAGACAAGGGCTCAGACTGTACAGAAGTCCCCGGAGTTTTTGTCAACTCCAGATTCTCCTAGTTTGTTGCAAGATCTACAGCCAAGTGATAGTACTTCTTTTATTCTTCTTAACCTAACACGAGCAGGTATTCTTTTCCTTTTCTTGAACTCGGCTCACATTTAAGAAGACCTTGAGGTATATATGTATGTGTCATATTTTACCATCCCAAATGGAAAGGAGTGTTATTGATTATTCTGGAGAATGTGTTTAATGACAATGACTAGTGGGAGGGAAAGGACTTAGAAGTTCTTGTTTGGGAAGCTAGTGGATGGTGGTGCTATTCACTGAGAGTGAACACAGGAAGCACAGGGCTTGCGGGAAGATGGTTAGTTCCATTTTGTGCCTGCTAGTGTTGAGATTTCTCAGAGACATTCAACAAAAGTTGTCATGTAGAGAGTCAGAAACAGGAATCCAGTGTTCTGGAGTGAGGCCTGCTGTAAAATAAGTAGCTTTGTGGTGCTTCTCAGTCAGCATATATGAAACAATGGGCATAGATCCCATCACCCAGGAGGATCTGGGACATTAACAGAAAAGAAGACAAGGAGCTTGGAAGGGTGGGGAACAGAAGAATGGGAAGGAACATCTAGAGAGGGAGGCGGCAATGTGGGAGAGAGTAGTGTAAGTGAACCCAAGGAAGGAGACATGTTTAAGAAAGAAAATTACTAAATCATGCCAAATACTACAGGATAGGTTTGTGAGACACTGACTAGGAAGTGTGTCTGGTGACCTTGGCAAGAACAATTATTACTGGGCTTGTTGTCGTTACGTACCGTCGATTTGGTTCCAACTCATAACGACCATATATATATGGTTTCTGAGGAGCAGCTGGTGGGTTTGAACCACCAACCTTGTGGTTCAAACTGGCCTTGTAGTCTAGCACATTATTCTGCCAAACCACACTAGGACTCCATTGTTGGGGTAGAGGTGAAGGTCAGGGTTTAAAGAGATAGCAAGTGAATGGAAGATGGGAAAGTGGATACATAAGTCAGAAGGTATAGTTGTTCAAGAAACTTGACTTGGAAGAGTGAAGAGTACAGGAGAGAAGGTAGACACAGAAATACTTAGGATTTTAAAACAAAGATGGGAGCGACTTGAGCTCGATCAGATTTAAAGGCTGCAAGAGAAGGCTGGCCATTAGAGAAGAATAGGTTGTAGGTGAAGACAGGACCTAACTGAATGTGAAGGATGTGAGAAGGGATAACCGGAGGTTGCGATTGACATACCAAAGCTGGAGGTTAGCCTGGTTGCCTGGAAGGAAAGTTTTGCCTTTGAAATAACAGGAAGTGAGGAAAAGACAAGACTGGATGCTGAGAGTGGAAAGAGGATGGCCTGATGATCTGTGAGAGCTGGTGTAGCTGATTCAGGACTCGGAAGGTTTGAGCCAGGTCAGATAAAAGGCTTGCTTGATGGCTAACTTTGATATATCCTCTTTTTCCTTCCAGGTTTGGGCTCTTCAGCTGAGCACTTAGTATTTGTACAAGATGAGGCAGAGGATTCAGGAAATGATTTCCTCTCCAGCGAGAGCACAGACAGTAGCATTCCATGGTTCCTCCGGGTTCAGGAGTTGGCCCATGACAGTTTGATCGCTGCTACTCGTGCACAACTGGCAAAGAATGCAAAAACCAGCAGCAATGGTGAGACCCTTGTGATGTTTTTCTTTTCACTTGTTTGAGTTATCACATACAGCTGTACCAAAAGTACCATACGTGGGAGACTTTAACAAACAGAAATTTACTCTTTCACAGTTTAGGTGGCTATATGTCCAGATTCAGAGTCCCAGATCTAGGGGAATGATTTCTTTCTCTGTCGGCTTTGGGGGAAGGTCCTTGTTTCTTTTCAACATCTGTGGGCCTAGCATTTCTTGGTATCAGTCCTCCTGAGTCTAAAGAGGTGCTCAGCACAGAGACTCCCAAGTCCAAAGGATGTGCTCTGCTTTTGGATTTCTGGTGCGGTTCCGTCGGATAAGCACTAGTCTGCAAACCACAAGGTCGGCAGGTCAAACCCACCAGCTGCTATATAGTCGCTATGAATCAGAACCAGCTCAGCACACTAAAGAAGCTGTATCTCTTTTATCTCTTGTAAGATAAAAAGTTATGCAGGTCACACCCCAAGGAAACTCCCCTTATATCAGATCTGGGCTGTACCTGAGTAAAGGGATGACTTAAGTTAGCATGATGCATCCAACCCTGATCCTGTCTCATTGACTACAGACAGAAATTAATGTTTGCAAAACATCACAAAATGTGGGATAATTAAAATGACAGATGACCACATAAAACTAGGAATCATGGCTTAGCCAAGTTGACATTTTATCCATGAGGACACAGTGTAATCCACAGTTGTCTGTGCAAAGAGATTTTGGCAGTTCAATGGCTATATTTTGAGTTCTCTATAAACCAAGTTATTTTACTAGTGAGAACAGAAGACTAGGAATATGTACTTGTTTTGAGTCATGTATAAAATAACTTGGCAGTGCCAGCTTTGTCTGTAGAATCAACTGAGCGAACATTTTCAAGAATCAACTGAGCCAACGTTTTCCATTTGTTACTTAAAATAGTGTATGGTGCTCCTTTTAAAGGAAAAACAAATTCTCATGGAACCCCAATGTTACCTTCAATTATATTTTTGTTATAATTTTACTTAAATATGTAAAACACAGAATTATGTATAAACTTCCTATATAAGAGCTCTTTTACTATTAACGAATCAAAATAATTTTATCAGTTAATTGAAATGAAACTGTAAAACCAGCGAAAATAGAATTAACATTAAATTAATGTAATTGATGATGCTGTTTTGCTGAAACTAAATTGCCGCTCATAGCAATTACGCAGTTAGCTGTGATCACTGTAATGCTGTCTCTGTTGAGTTCCACATGTCTGCACTGCCTCCTGTGCGCTGCTTCTCTTTATTCCAGTAATTCTCATCAGCACCTGGAAACTTGTTAACAATGCAAATTCTAAGACCCCAACCCAGGCCTATTGAATCTGAAACTCTGGAGGTGGGGTTTCATAGTCTGTCTCAGCAAGCCCTCCCTGTGGTTCTGATACATGCTGAAGTTTGAGAACCACTGCTTGACTCAAGCCACACCTAAACCACTGCGAAACCTTTGTTGAATGTGGAATACTATAATACTTCCTAGTTTAGGTCTGCCTCTGTTTTCTTATTAACTTCTGACAATTAAGGTTATGTATGATTCAAGGAGTCCTAATGTGGTGTTGTAGGATAAGCACTGGACTGCTAATCACAATGTCATCGGTGGTGCAGGATTGCTATGAATTGTAAATAACTCAGTGTCACTTAACAGCAACAACAAATATGGTTCAGTACTGCCATCCCTCAAACTGTGAGCTTAAGCACTGAAATCCTAAGGCAGTACACTGAATTATGCTAATGATCTTGAATGTGCTTATGATTCTCTTTATTGCCATTCAAATGGAATGAAAAAGATTTTTAAACTTCACATAGAGAACTCAAGATTCCTGTGAATATTTCAGAATAACTCAGTTTAAAAACCATAAATCTAAATCTGTCCTCCAAAGCTTTGACTTGACTGATTTCATTAGTTCTGTTTGTGAGTGCCATAGTGCTGCTCAGAATGGCTCATTTTACCATTTTGGAGAGACTGAAGTTCTGATTATATTGAGATGCTTTTACTAATATCTGAATTCTGGAACCATTGTCATCTCTACGATACACTGAGTCTATTCCAACTCATAGTGACCCTATATGGGCTTCCGAAGCTGTAAGCTCTTTATGGGAGCAGAAACCATAATCTTTCTTCCACCGAGTGACTGATGGGCTTGACCTGCAGGCCTTGCAGTTAGCAGTCCAGTTCTTTTCCTGCAGTGCCACTAGGTCTCCCTTACCCTGAGGAAGCAGTGTAGGGAGTGAGTTTGGGATTGAGAATCTGGAGGTCTGGGGCTAGTTTTCTGGCTTGGACAGTTTCAGCTCTCTTGGCTTCGGTTTTCTCAGCTTTAGAGCATAGAGATCAGATAGCTTACCTGATTGGATTAGTTGTTAAGGAGATTATGTAAACTCCTGGTGTAATACTGCAGGATCAGCACTGGATTGCTAACCACTAGGTCAGCTGTTCAAATCCACCAGCTGCTCCTCAGAAACCCTATATAGGGTAGCTGTGAGCTGGAACCAACTCTGGCACTTAACAATAACATCTGAGAAGTTGGGGGGAAACCTTATAATTAACAAAACATTATTACTCTCACAATATGTTATCTTAACTACCTTATAACCTTGTATGCCTGAATATGAAGGGGTTTCAAAAGTTTTTGTGGAAAATGGAATAAAAAATTTCCATGAACTTTCTGAAACCCCTTCATATAACACAAACTTTCCATTTTCCCAATGAGATGATTCCCTAAAAACTTTTTTTTTTTCTAACTTAAATAAATAAATCATTAGGCATGTAGGTAAGTGAAATAGCATAAGTTTGCTATTGAAAATTATTTTATTTGCACATATTTTATATAATGTTATATGAACTATATTACAGGCAGGTACAAGTTACATCAGATTTACTGACAACTTCTCCTTACCATTTAATGTTATGTAAATTTGCCCTACTTTTGAAATGACAAAGGAGCCAACCCAAAGCAATCAATACTCATACAGCATTCTTGACCATAGTTACCTTCACTTGCTCCTTGCTCGCCATTAAATCACTGAAAAGGCTTTGAGCACCAAAATGAGAGCTGTCTGACTGACCTACAAATTCCACTTAAAGACACTTAGGATACCACCAGCGTTTCTTTAAGAAGGCATAATAAAGTATAAAGCTCAGAAATTTTCATACTAATTAAAATGTTTCAACAAATGGAAACAATGCTGTAAGTACCTACTCATATATACGAAGAAATTTGGAAGACAGCTATCTGGCCTACTGACTGGAAGAGATCCATATTTGTTCAAATTCCAGAGAAAGATGATCCAATGGAATGTGGAAATTATCAAAGAATATCATTAATATCACACGCAAGTAGAATTTTGTTTAAGATAATTAAAAATAGCTGCAGCAGTGCATGAACAGGGACCTGCCAGAAATTCAAGCCAGATTCAGAACAGGCTGTGAAATAAGGAATATCATTACTAATACCAGATGAATTATGGCTGAAAGCAGAGAATACAAGAAAGATGTTTACTTGTATTTTATTGACTATGCAAGGCATTCAACTGTGTAGATCATAGCAAACTATGGGTAACATTATAAAGAATGGACATATCAGAACACTTCATTGTGCTCATACAGAACCTGTACATAGGCCAAGAGATATTATTATTCAAACAAAAGGATACTGCATGTTTTCAAAGCAGAAAAGGTGTGTGTGTTTGTGTGTGTGTGTGTGTGTGTCAGGGTTGTACACTTCCATTATACTTAGTCAATCTATGAGGGTAATTTTAAAAATATTGCTACAAATTCACAGAAACCTTCATTAAACAAATATTAAAATGTAAAAAAAAGACACAGGATAGATTGCATGAGTCCTCTAACACATTGTTTCAGAGCACATTGTAATAAAGTTTTATAGAACAAAACCATGCCCATTAGTTACAGATTATCAATAATTACTGCAGTGGATTGGTTGAATAGCTGTAACAGAAACCCTATGTCCCTCAAAACTAAAAATATCTGACCCTTTATAGAAAAAATGTGTTGGCCTGCTGTTATAGATGATGTCCTCATCTATAAATTTTATCCCAAGTGCAAATTGCCCATTCATATAACAGGGAGTTCTGGTATGACATAGGATAAGCATTGGACTGCTAACCACAAGGTTGGCAGTTCAGACTCACTAGTCACTCCTTGGAAATCCTTTAGAGTCACTGTGAGTTGGAACTGACTCATTTACATTTAACAGCAACCACAACCTAATAGTAAGATCTTTAAAGTTCTTTCAGGTTGTCCAACACTTAAACTATGAGATGTTGAATTTCTTAGTCTCTCTGTCTTTGACCGGTTCTACCGTAGTCTCTCGCTTTTGTAACCAGTCCTGGTGTGACACCACAGAATAAGCATTCAACCGCAAGAGTGGTGGTTCAAACTCACCAGCCACTCCTCGGAAACGCTGTACAGAGTTGCTATGAGTCACAACCGACTAGATGGCGCACAACAACAACAACCAGATAACCTCTGAATATCCAAAACTGGCATTGGCTAAGATCATTGTAAGCTAATCTAGCTTCTCCAAATAGTGCTTTGTTTTTAAAAACTAAGTAACTGAGGGAGCATTCCTCTAAGTGAACGATTTTATAAGGATTCAAATACAAGGCAACTGATTCTTTTCAAAGCTATTTTTTAGGGAAAAATCTGCCTTATATTTGAGCATGCATTGAGTATCAAAGAGAAGCATGCATTGAGTATCAAAGAGGAGGAATTCCACTAATTTCTTATTTTTGCCTTACTCCTTGTTTTCACTTTCCCTGTTTTATGATTATGTTAATGTTTTTATTATATCTACAAAATTAAATGCACAACAGCCCAACTGTCACCATTTTAAATCTCTGCATTAGCATGGGGTTTCTACAGTCTAGTAATTAGCTAGAGCCATAGATTTGGTAGAGAGCCCTGGTAGTAGCGTATTGGATACATGCTGAACTGCTAACCGCAAGGTCAGCAGTTCAAATCTGCCAGCTGCTCTTCGGGAGAAAGATGAAGCATTCTATTCCCGTAAAGATTTACTGCCTTGGAAACCCTATAGAGGGTCGCTGTAAGTTGGAACCAGCTAGATGGCACACCATCACCATAGGTTTGGTGGAAATTTTCCTTTACAGTGTATGCCCTTAGGTACTGTTGAAATTTTACCCTTGTATGTTTGTTGTTGTGAATTGCCATCAAGTCGTTTCTGACCTAGGAGCTGGTTAGCTTGAACTGCCAACCTTGCAGTTCAAATGGCTTTGCAGTCTGGCACACTAACCCACAGAGCCACGCCAGGAATCCTTACCCTTGTGTAGGCATTACATTTTCAATTAAACAAACAAACAATTAAAATATTTTAAAATAAATTAATATTGACCAACAGAAGGTATCCTACGTTCTGCTCTGACCTTGGAACAATAGCTTTATTATTAGCATATGATGAAGTGCAGCAGGGAGAACCAGGGCTTTGAGCCATTTCATTCTAGTTCGACCCAAATAGAATGACCCTGAATCTATTTAACAAGAGCCTCAGATGACTCTATAAGATTCTGATTCAGTGGACTATTGGAACATATGAACACTAGTCTCCGCGACTCTGAGACCAGAAAAACTAGATGGTGCCTGGCTACCATTACCAACCATCCTGAAAGGGACGGATTACATTAGAGGGTCCTTGATAGAGTAGGAGAAAATGTGGAACAAAACTCAAAATAAAGCAATTAAAAAAAAAAAAGAAAGAAAGACTGATTTACTGGTCAGAAAGAGACTAAGGAACCTATGACTATGGTCCTCGACTACCCATTTGGAGGCCAGGAAAGGAACTCACCCTCTTGGAGGTAACAACACTGAACTAGCAAGGTCTGCTCACTATGGAATAGTCAAGCATTCAAAATCAAAAGGGCAACAGTTTCCTAAGGACAAAGTTGAGAAGGAATAAGAAGGTGGATGGAATGCAAACAGAAATTACAGGGAGAAACTGGAATAACTTGTTGCATGGCGGGGATTGTAATCATTGAGAATGAAACAAGGTGTATGATTGTTTGAATATAAAGCTGATAATCTTATCTATAAACCTTCACTCAATTCACAATAAAAAGTTTTGTTTTTTTTTTAAAGTAGCTGAATAAATGTTTATTAAATAAAAAAGATTTTGATTTAGTATATCTGGGGTAGAAAGACAGATTCTCAGCAGGAATGAAGCCCTGAGGAGAACATAAGACTGGAAGTAAAGAAAAATCAGATGAGACAGAGACAGTCTTTGGTCAACTGTCAAGTTCCAGGGAATGTGATAAGTCCAACACATATATCCTGCTCTTGGCTTTTTTGAAATATAAATGTTACTCCTTTGGTATGTATACTGGGTAAAAAAAGAAAAAGCCTCCATATAGTTACAGCTAAGTGGCTCTGAATGTTCTTCTCTGTTGATACCCAACTATGTCTTAATGAAAATGGAAGAAAAGGAAAACTAGCTGCTAATCTGGAATTTATATAAATGTTCATTAACTGATTTCATTTATATCTAAGAGAAGTACTCTATATGCCTCCCCCCGTCATTCTATTGAACAAAATTCCAATCGCTATTATCTCTATTTTTTAAATATGATTAGAAATTTAAACAATCAATTGACTTACCATTCATAAGATATTTTATAACAAAACAGAGATGGTAGAAGCAATTGGAAGGTGGTTCTTAATCTCTAGAGCAAGGGTGAAGAAATTTTTTTCTGTCAAAATTTATATCATTCGCTGACCATAGAAAATTACTAATTTAAAATTTAGCCTGCTATATTTGGTCAGACATTTAATTATGTGATGCCTCATGTGATGGCTTGAACTGCAGTTGCCTTGACAGGGCCAGACCAAATGATTTTGCATTCCCCACTCCTGCTCTAAGGAGCTCTGGTAGTGTAGTGGTTATGAGTCAAGCTGCTAATCTCACAGTCAGTAGTTCGAAACTACCAGCCATCCCATGGGAGAAAGATGAGGCTTTCTGCTCCCATAAATGTTTACAGCCTCTGAAACCCTATACAGGGTCGCTATGAGTCAGAACCGATTCCACTGCACACCACCACCATCGCCACTCCTGCTCTAGAGTGATAGGAGGAGGCCAAACTGACTTCAAAAGATGGAAATCCAGGAATGACCACCTGCTTCAGAAATCTGCTTTAAACCCAGATTGGCTGCTCCAAGCTATTGGCTTAATGTTATACAAAACGAACTTGTCTGCTGTAGCACCTCATTCAGGGTGTGGATACATTTACTTTCGCACCAGTCTGAGGTACAAAATAAGTTTAATTCTCCTCTCTGAAATTTCTGATGTAAATCATTTTGGGCATTTCTTATACGTGCCACAAAGAGGCCTAATCTTATGACTAATCTTCAGGTAATTCTCTAGAGTAAGAGAATAGGAACAGAACACTCATTTCTGTTGTTAAATGAATACATAGGGAAGTGGAACTAGATGTCTGATTAATGATCACTAGGAATATCACTAGAAGTAAAGTATATGAGTTGTATTTGAACCAAAACATTTCAGTGGGGTCCTTCCCTGGATTACAAATTTGACTCTGTTACAGGAGAAAATGTCCATCTTGGCTCTGGTGATGGGCAACCCAAAGATTCTGGGCCCCTTCCTCAAGTGGAGAAGAAACTCAGATGTACAGTTGAAGGCTGTGACCGGACATTTGTGTGGCCAGCTCACTTCAAGTACCACCTCAAAACTCATCGGTGAGCAAACCTGAGACCCCGTACATGGAGCTCAGGAGCTTTGATGTTTCTAGCTGAACTTCTCCCCTGAATTGGCAAATCAAAGAAAACGGTCTCCAGTTCACTTTTGGATAAGATGCCTTTTGTTCTTTAATAGAAAGATTTTCATTGTCTTACATACCTTATTCATTTTGTTTTGTTTTATTTGTTTTTTAATATTTTATTGTGAATTATGTGATAGTTTACATGGGAGAACATTAGTTTTACATTCATCCTATCAGATATCGTTTCATTGCCATGGTTACAATCCCCTCCATGCATCATCAAACAACCAAATGCGTGTACCCTGCAGGCCTACCCCCTCTCCACCCTCTGGTCATCACCACATAGTCCCTCTTCCTCTCTGGGTCTAGAGTCACCAGCCGCTCCATCTCTCCACGTCATTGTCTCTGCCTCCATCTCTGGGGTCACTGCTTTTCTGGGTAGGGTCTTGCACTCCGTTCTTCTCTCTTGATGGTCCCAGGTACCTCCACCTACTCCTGGAATGCAAAGTCAGTCACTCCCCACCTTTTGCTACAAAATATCCACCTTTACATTCCCAACCCTTGCAGTCAGTCCTGATAGCAATTACTCACCATTATACCACAAGGGACCTATCCCCATCTCTTTTAATTAGTCCCGCCCAGACAGATTGGATACTACTCAGTGGGGATTCTACCTTCCTCCACGCCCTCTGGATCTAGGCTCCCTCTTGAAAGCTTGTAAGCCAGTCACTTCTTGCCTTTGTAGCTGCCCCCCGCCCCCCATTTTGGGTAGCCAATGTCCAAGTTGCCCATCCCTGTCTACTCTGTTTATGGAGGGGGTGGGAATAATCCTCGCTGTAAAGATTTGTTCCCTCTTTTGAGCTATTGCATCCATAGGTATAGGTCAAGTTCATCAAATTGTATCAGGTTACTCTTTTTTTTCTTCTTCTAGTTTAGCTCTGATCATCCAATCATTGAAGCCAGGTCAAGTGGATATTATCTGCATGTATGGATGTTCTTGTGCATATGCCCTCTCTTCTTATCAGCTGGATGCTTCACTTTCCACTCTAGTCCTCTGTGGTTATGTCACTGACTCTGGGCCCAAGAGTCCCCAGATCTTGCCACACTGCTGGCCAACCAGGTCTCCACCCAGGTTCACAGAAGTCTATTGAACGCTGTAGGGCTTGGCTCACCGCTTCATTGCTGTTTTACCCTCCTTCCCCTTATCGGTGATGAACGTGGTCACCAATCAGAGCTCATGTCTGCTCATGTATTCTCATTGAGTCTTAGTCTTGGAAGGCGGTTTGCCCTGAGGGGACCTGACCACTTGCCTTGATGTCTCCTGGGTAAGCACTTGCTTATTCTTGTAGTAATCAGTCTAGTAATCAGTTGGACTGCTGTGATTGTTTTGTATTTTTCCTGTTGGTCTTTCTTTCAAGAAGTATCTGCTGTTCTAGTCACTCCAGGCTGTTGCTTGACCTTTCAAGAGGCAATTTCCCACCTCAGAAGATTCTGGATAAGGTTCAGAATTCCACCTATGGTCTTATGTAATGCAGAAGCTCTGCAGGAAGCCTCCTTCACTGGGCCCGTTGTAGCCCCACTTTAGGTATTCCAATCAGTTATAGGCAGAAGATGGACTTACAAGCTTTCTCTATGGTGGCATTTCCAGCTATTCCTTTCTCTCCCCATCCAGTGTCTATTTTATAATGGTATACCAGGGAAACCAAGATTCAAAAGACAGCCAAGCATCTTAACATTATTTCCCCCATTTCCCTATTCCAACCATGTCTCAATCCCTGTATCCCAGAGCCCTGTTTTTCCAAGGTTGTACATACATCATTATTTACCTGTGTCTCTCTTAGCCCATGTAAACCTGCCTAATTGTTTTCCCACCCGTCTTATTCTTCCATTCCCCTTACCTTTCTTGTGTATTGCCCCATCCCTAGCACCCAAACTATCCTGTGTCTATTCCCTACCCTGTGCTCCACCTTCCCCTCCCTCCCCTCACCCCACCTCCCCACATTCTGTTAACCAGCAAAGAATCCCACCCTCCCTTTAGTATAGGTTCTTATTCTTAGTCTTGTATAGTAGTGGTCCTATGCAGTATTTCTCCTTTTGCGAATGACTAATTTCACTCAACGTAATGTCCTCAAGGTTCATCCCTGTTAGGTAATAACTTACAGCTTCCTTGTTGTTTTTCAAGGTAGCATAGTATTCCGTTGTGTGTTGTCGAGGACCAGCCTCAACAGGGGAGTTTGGTTCACAAAGTAGGGATATCTGGCAGCAACAGAGACAGAAAAAGAGTACAGACAAAGAGACACCCCGAAACTAGAGTGGATGCAAAACTGGCGGCCAGACCCTGGACTACAGGCATCGTGGCCCCTACAGGCAGTAATGCACAGCCAGCCCTGCAAGCAGTAATGCACAGTCAGCCCTGCAGGCAGTAATGCATGTGGGCTTCAGTCTGCGCCCCCTTTTTATTTCAGGGAGGGGCTTTACACAAAGGCAGAAGGTGATTATTAAGACAGGGTACAGAAATGAAATGTGATTAATCGTTCAAAACAGGACACCATGATTTACAGGAACAAATTCTAAAACATACATCACAGATTGTCTTGATAATCTAACATCCTTAATTTTCTAGAAATGCAAGCAAATCGTTATAAATTACTTTTTAGGTTCAAATCCCAAGGCAGCAGCTCGAGTTTTCTCCAGGCTAATTAACATACCTATAGCACCTAATCTTC